CTGCTCGGCCTGCTGTGTTCATCCAGCTCGACACCTTGTTATCTCAGGATTCTCCAGCATCAGCAGTTCCTACTATCTCTGCTCAAACTATGGAGAGTTTAATCTTCATTTCACCTGGTATTCATATTATAAAAGGTGTTGTAAATTATGAAACTGAAAAGGAAATCCCCGAAGTTCAGTTTTTAATTTTATTCAGTTGCAGAATGCAAGTGTCCCTGGCTGGGCCAGCATTTATTGGCCTTGCCAAACTGCCTTCAAGAAGTTGGTGGTGAGGTTCTTTCTTGAACCACTGCAGTCCATGCGATGTAACTACATTCAGTGTTGTTAAGGCAGCTCCAGGACTCGCAAACAGAAAGTGAAGCAATAGCAATATATGGCAAGATAGCATTTGGTTTAGAAGGAAACTTGCAGGTGCAGGTGTTCCCATGTAGCTGCAGCTCTTGTCCTTCTAGGTGGTAGAGGTCAATGGTGTCTTGGTAAGTTGCTTCTGTGCATTAGTAGATACTGTATACTATTGCCACTGCATATCGATGTTTAAGGTATTGGACAGGGTGCCAATCAAGTAGGCTGCTCCATCCTCGATGGTGTCAAGGTTCCAGAGTGCTGTTGGAGCTGCACTCCTCCAGGCAACTGTAGAGTACTCCAATACACTCCTGACTTGTGCCTTGTAGATGGTGGACAGGCTTTGGAGATCAGAAATGGAATTATTTCCCATGGAATGCTCAGTCTCTGATCTGCTCTTAAAGCCACATATGGCTGGTCCATTTCAGTTTCTGGTCAATTACATCCCACGAAGTTGATCGTGAGAGATTCAGTGACGTTAATGCTGTTCAAATGTCCAGGAGCTTAATTTCTCTCTTGTTGGTGATGACCATTACCCGGTACTCGTGTGGCATGAATGTTGTCGAGGTCTGGCTGCATATGGAGGCAGACTAATTATGTATCTGAGGAACTGTTGCTGAATGTCACCTGTTTAATTCAGCCAACATCCCACTTCTGACTTTATAACGAAGGGATAATCATTAATGAAGTGGCTGAAAACGGATGCTGAGGACACTGAGGAACTCCTGTGATGTCCTGCAGCTGAGATGATGGACTTCCAACAAATACATCAATCCTCTTTTGCATTTAGTACAGCACCAACCACCAGAGAGCTTTGGTCCGATTCCCATTGATTCTAAATTTACACAGGCTCCTTGTTACTGCATTCAGTCAAATGTTGCTTTGGTGTCAAGGTTTGTCACTTTCATCACTTCCAGACTGCTGCTTTTTGTGTCCACATTCGGATCCAGGTTGTAATAAGGTAAGGAGCTGAGCAGTTCAGGCAGAAGCCAATCTGAGGTTAAAGTGAGTGAGGCATTGCTAAGGATGCATTGCTTGATAGCGTTGTTAACACCCTCCACCACCTTGCTGGTCAAAAATGAAGAACAGTTCTAATCCCCATTTTTAAAACAAGGAATTGAGGCAGAGAAGGTAAAACAAAAAAAACAAAATTATACAGCACAACGTAATATCAGAAATTAGCAATTCCTTTGAGATAACAAGGCTAAACTGGCAATATATCATGTTTTTTCCAACACTCGATCCTGAGCAGTATTGCTAGGTCATGGAGAGCCACCTTCCTGAATCACCATCATTGATACAATGGGAGTACACTCACAGCTCACAGGGCGGAAGTTCCTGGATGTTGACCCAGCAGAGAAGAAGCATAGAGATAAAAAGGTGTAGAGCTGGATGAACACAGCAGGCCAAGGGTCTAGGCCCAAAATGTCAGCCTTCCTGCTCGGCCTGCTGTGTTCATCCAGCTCTACACCTTTTTATCTCAGATTCTCCAGGATCTGCAGTTCCTACTATATCAAAGAAGCATAAAATTGGTTCCACTGAGACTATAAGATGTAGGAGCAGAATTAGGCAATTTGGCCTACTGGGTCTGCTCCACTCTTATGGCTAATATATTTCTGAATTCTCTTCTCCTGCCTTCTCCCTGTAACCCTTCATCCCTTTACTAATCAAGAAGCTATCCCTGTCTTGAACACTTTCAATGATTTGGCCTCCACAGCAGCAATGAGTTCCACAGACTCACCAGCCCTCACTGAAGAATTTCCCGTTCATCTCAATTCTAAAGGGTCATCCCTTCACTGAGGCTGTGCCCTTGGGTCCTAGTCTCTTCTACTAGTGGAAACATCTTCTCCACATCCACTCTATCCAGGCCTCTCTGTTCTGAAAGTTTCAATCAGATTCCCCCTAATCATTCTGAACTCCGAGTACAGACCGAAGACAAGATGGTGCATGACTTTAAGGGAAACTTGCAGGTGGTGGTGCTCCACATATGTGTAGCTCTTGTTCTTCTGCATGGGTTCCAATGTGGAGGTTTGTGCATTCCAACAGTCCCTTCCATGATGCCAATGGAAGCTGCTGCTTCTTCGTACAGCCATAAATGGCAGCAGTTCAGTGAAAGAGGCTAGACAAAGTGGGGTCCAAAAAGTTGTCAATAGCAGAACAGACAAAAAAGGCAGTGCACTTCAATGACTGCAGCAACGAGGTGACATCAAGGAGCCCTAGCAAAACTGGAACCAATGTCTATTGGGTCCAAACAGCTGCTTTAAGTCATACCCAACACATAGGAAGATGAGATAACAAGGTGCAGAGCTGGATGAACACAGCAGGCCAAGCAGCATCAGAGGAGCAGGAAGGTTGACGTTTCAGGCCTAGACCCTTCTTCAGAAAACATATGATGATGATTCTGGTTGTTGGAGGTCAGTCATCTCTGCAAAAGTTTCTCAGGATAGTGCCCTTGCCCAACCATTTTTAACCCTTTTGTTAATGACCTACTTTCCATCATAAGGGCAGGCATGGGGATGAAAGGCTACAGTTGCACAATATTCAGCACCATTCACAAAGCAGATACTGAAGCAGCCCATATTCAAATGCAACAAGATCTGGACAATAGCTAAGCTTGAGCTGACAAGTGGCAAGTAATATTCGTGTCACAAATACCAGACAGTGACCATCTCCCACAATGACAATCTAACCACCACCCCTTGACATTCAATGGTATTATAATTACTGAATCCCGCACTATCCTCCTCCTGGGCGTTAGCATTGACCAGAAACTCAACTGGACTCGGCACATAAGCACAGTGGCTACAAGAGTAGATCAGAGTCTAGGAATACTCACCTCTTGACTTGCCAAAGTCTGTCCACCATCTACAAGGCACCAGTTGAAATGGAACAGTCCCCACTTACTGGGTGGGTGCGTGCAGCTCCAACAACACAAGCAGCTTGACACCATCCAGGACAATAGAGCCAGCTTGAATGGTGTCACATCCTCACCCTCCACAATGCTCAGTACTCACTACAGTTACTACCTACAAGATACACTGCAGAAATTCAAAGATCCTTAGACAACACCTTCCAAACCCACAACAAATTCCATCAAGTAGGACAAGAGCAGCAGAACTCCCTTCCTAAGGGCATTATGGGCCAACCAACAGCACATGGACTGCAGCGATTCATGAAGGCAGCTCACCACCACCACCACCTTCTAGGGCAACTAGGGATGGGCAATAAATGCTGGCCAGCCAGTGATGCCCATCTCCTATGACAGAGTTTAAAAAAGGTGGTTTCAGTCATTGCAGTTCAACACATGATTGAAATCTGACTATCAACCTGTCAAAATTGTGCAGTCAATGAGGACTACCTGGGCTTCCAAATATGAAATCAAGTTAGGCTCAATCTTCTACTGGGGTCCATCAGTCAAGTCTTGTAGATACACAGGATTGGCAACAGCAACAGAGCTGTGGACCTAGGAGCCCCTCGTCAAAAATCTACACACAGGCAACAGATGCATCAAGGTCACTGGACACCTGTGTCTCTGAGCAGCAGCATCTTGGAATGAGCTGTACGTTTCAAAACGCCCTCTGCTCACCTCAAATGGGGATGGATCTAAAAAAGTGCTCTAAATTTAGGATGCCTCTCCTCCTAGCTGGAGGAGGAGACAAGATGGTCCAAAAGGTGGTGATAACCACCACTGCGGTCAAAGAAAAAAAACGTATAATTCGCAACTTGGAAATGTAGAACACTCATTAATATCAGAGTCATAGAGTCAATACAGCACAGAAACGGACCCGTTGGTCCAACTTGTCCATGCTGACTAAGTTTCCCAAATTAAACTACTCCATAATCGCCAAGACTAACCCACTGGAACAAAGTACTGCATTCTTATTTCACGAGCTTTCAAGACTCCAAAATGACATCCCCATCCTCAGCTGAACCCTGCCTTTGTGATACAGCTGAAGGAAAAGGAGGGAGATAACCTACAAAGTAGTAAAGCTGACAGGTTTAGCATGTCCTAATGAAATCCCCGTAACATAGGTCAACATGGCACTGCTCCAATATTGACAAAAATCAAATTTCCGAGTGTCATCAGGCTGCACATATTGTAGGGTGTGCGGGTTATTAATTTTTGAGTACAGAAACAAAGATGAGGAAAGCCCAAAAACACAAGGAAAAATGATCCCAAACAAAGATTGCTATCCCTAACAACAGTCCACAGTTGGATCAGCAAAGGCTTTACAATGTGTCATTGTTATGAAATAAAGAAGCAACAGTGATTCAGCCCACTAGGTCTGCTGTGCCAACGAGATAATGGCTGATATTATGAGTCCCACCTACATTTTTCTAACCTATCCCCATAATCCTCGATTCCCTTATGGATTAAAAATCTGTCTACCGCAGTCTTGAAAACACTTAATGACCCAGTCTCGAATGCCCTCTATGGCAAAGGATTCCAGGTTCACTACCCTCTGAGAAGAAATTTCTCATCACTGTCCTACCTCAGCAACCCCTTACACTCTTGAGGGTATGCTGTCTGGTCTGACTTTCTCTTAGCCTTTACCATGTCAACCAAAGAATCTTGTACTTTTCAAGGAGGTCTCCTCTCATACTGCTGAACTCCAACCTACACAATCTGTCTGCATAAGAGTGCCCTACATACCCAGATTCAACTTAGTGATGCCTCTCTGGACTGCCTCCAATACTAGTATATCCTTCCTTAGATTAAGGGGACCAAAACTGTTCATAGTATTCCAGCTGTGGTCCAACTAGTACCTTGTGTAAGTTTAGCAAGAACTCCCTATTTTTATACTCCATTCCCTTTGAATGGAAGGGGAACATTCCATCTACCTTCCCTGTTACCTGCTGAACCTGTACACTAACTTTTTGTGATTCACCATTCAAATATTATTCAGTTCTCCTTATTTTTCCTGAAGGACATAATGTCATAATTTTCCCATACTATATTCCTTAGTTTTCTGGACTGCCACAAAATACATGGTAAGGGGAGGCACTCCAAAATGAAAGAAGTAGATCAATAATTTTGTTTTTTTAATTTCAAAGTCTAAGGCAATGCAGCAACTTGTACTTGTTCTATAAATAGCTGACTAAAAATGCAGGGAAGCATCTACAGGAAGCAAAGTGTTGCATCACCAGGCAGCACGTTGGCTCAGTGGTTAGCACTGCTGCCTCAGCGCCAGGGACCTAGGTTCAATTCCAGCCTCTGACAACTGTCTGTGTGGAGTTTGCACATTCTTCCCGTGTCTGCATGGGTTTCCTCCGGGTGCTCCTGTTTCCTCTCAGTCCAAAGATGTGCAGAGTAGGTGGACTGGCCACGCTAAATTGCCCGTAGTGCCCAGGGATGTTTAGGTTAGGTGGGTTAGACAAGGGAATTGAAGGGGTAGGAGAATGGCTCTGGGTGGGATGCTCTTCAGAGGGGCAGTTTGGACTTGTTGGGCTGAATGGCCTGTTTCCACACTGTAGGGATTCTATGATTCAATTATTCTATGATAAAGTTCCCATCCTCACTGGATTAGTATTTCATTGATTCCCTTGCCGAAGGGTGCTCATCATAGCAGTGCAACAATGACAAATGCAAATTTGCCAGCACAGCAGAAACATGACACTGCTGTAACAACATGGATATAAAACTTCATAACACATCCATAAAAACTCTTGGCCTGCCATTTTAAACTGTAACATTTCTATTTAAGTTGCAAGTGACAGAAAAAAAATTAAAAATTTAGACTTGTTTCCACAAAAGCACCCCACAGTTATAAAGAACTCTAGCTCTTTCAAGTTCTTAATTCTAATGGCATTCATATCACTCATCATTGTTTGGGTCTGCCATAAAAAAAAACTTACCTGCAACATAAACCCAATAAACGTTTTATTTGATATAAACATATGTGTTTGTTAGAATCAGCTAACTGTTGCACATATTGAGCACTATGCTTAACCAAGTTTTGACAAATCCATGTCTGAAACAAAGAAGGAAAACTCAAGTCAATTTAGATCTTGCAGAGAATTGATTGAAAAAAAATACCAGTCTTACTGTGATGCTTAACACAATTTCCAATACAATATCAGGCTCAGGTTCATTCACATGAGCAAAGAAAGATGATTGAGAGTTCATCACATCTACAGACAAGGATACCAATGAGACTGCTGAACAAGAAAGTATAGAAACCATATCATAAATCAATTCATACTCTTCCCATTGCCAGCATAGTTCCCCCGACTGACAATTGTTAAAGGAGAAAAACATTCTTGAAGATTTTTTTCTATAAACTAGAAGAGAATATTAATTTACGAAAAGGTTCCCACATTTAGTGACCCAAAAGTACTGCATTCTTTCTGGTTTAGAACAGTTCAAACACAGTAAAACCGCACATCAAAAGTGAATGCTGAGTATTTGATGCAGTAAATTCCACTACCACAGGTATACTGTTGCCTCGAAGTTTCACTGGGACAGTCTGAAAGCAGGATGATATAGCCATGTAAAACAACTGATGTAGCACTTGCATTTTTGACTGGGAATCAAGGCCTGCTCTGAACATTTTGAGCTCATAAGAAATTGATTGCAATGGTAAACTTCTCTTACCAATCTATCCAAATCTTCATTTTGTTTGTAAAAAAATAGGAGTTTTCTTATTAAAACAGTCAAGTTATGCCCATCACTGATAGAAAAATTTCCTCCTAGTTGGGCTAAGGAAACATAATCATCAAATTCGCTTCGCTGAACCATATGCTGCAAAGGAAATAAAACAAATCAAAACTGAATTTTCTAAAACAGTTGACATTACTGTTTACTAGGTATTGTTTTTGCATCAGTTGCAACAGTGTATCTGTTTAATATTCAAAACATTTCATTCTTTCCAATGTCCAAATATCATACCTTAACGGAGTTACAATCCTTCCTTAAAATGGGCTTCCACATCTTTAAAAACCACTGAAAAAATTAACACTTTAAAGTTTCTTTTAAAGAAACACTAAACAAATCTGAAAGAGGACTGCTTAATACTATAGTCACAGGACCGCTGTTTGCAAATAAATCTAACAAGGTGATTGAAACAATAACAGAAAATGCTAGATACAGTCAACAAGTCTGATAGCAACTATAGAGCACGTGAGACAGACAGACAGGGAGGGGAGGGGAGGGGAGACAGACAGACAGACAGGGAGGGGAGGGGAGGGGAAACAGACAGACAGACAGACAGACACAGACAGAGAGAGAGAGACACAGACAGAGAGAGAGACAGAGAGACAGAAAGGAAGATTTTTAAATCAAAACTCAATGAACTTGAATTCTGGTCATTGGCCAATGAATTAAAACTTGAACTATTTTCTTTGTCGATGCTGCAGACGTCTTGAATATATCTAGCATTTTCTTGTTTTATTTCAGATATCCAACAACCAGTTTTGCTACTGTGCCATCCACATGGATGTTAAGCAGCATAATTTTACAGCAGAAATGTTTCAAAAGAAATATTCGAGTCGAATCAAACATTTTTTCTTTTCTTGCCTGACAAGCACCCTCATACAGCGAAAAGAAGTACCTCTGCTAAAAATATCAAATGCTCTCAAACGAGCCCTTCATTAGTTTCAGTCCTATCCAAATACTTTGCAATTTTAATACATTTCTGTAACCTACTTGTTGTTTCCTGTCCCTATATCCCCTTAGGAAGGACTGAATAATAACTGCGTTCCTTTGTCGTCGTCTTTCTTCCTAAAGAGAAACAATTAAAAAAAGTGTTTAACAAGCATGTCCTATAAATTTTGCTTCATTATATTTCCTCAATACTCAATTCTTCAACAACAGACTTAGTTTCAGCCATGTAAGTGTGACCACACCTTGCCATTAAAGCACTGCAGTACTATCACGATAACCAGCAAGCCTTTTGGAATGAATTAATGAAAATCTATCAGCACATGTATATACGTTTACACATCAGTTAAAACTGTAAAGTACAATATCATATATCCATTCACCTCCTTTCAGCTCTTGGGTGTGGGGATAAGTACACCTTGTGCTTTGTATCCTTTAGAAACACCCAATTTTACAGTTAGTTTTCCATTCTAGTTCCTGCTCAAGAAAAACAAAACCTCTACATTCCATTTGCACTCACTAACGCTGCAGCACATCCATGGGAAGTCACTTGGAATGCACAGTGATGCACATCTACAAGAAACATTCTGGAAACGTGGGTGGGACAGAGTCGCATCTTAACTATGATCTTTGGAGACTGAAGTAAATCTGCTACTCCTCGGCCAATTGGCCCATCTGATCAAGATCCTGTTGCACTCTGAGGTAACCTTCTTCACTGTCCACTACACCTTCAATTTTGGTGTCATCTGCAAAACCTCTACTTTATTAATATCCATCTATCCAAGAAGAGAGTTCCAATGACTCACGACCTTCAGAAAACATTTCAGTTATTTCAAATTCCTCAATGACCTTACCCCCTCCACATCATCAAGTTCCTCCATCAACCATCTGAGATATCTGCACTCTGCTAATTCTGACTTCTTGAGCATCTCAATTTTAAAATTTCACCATTAGTCATCATGCTTCAGCTGCTAAGACCATAAATCTGAAATGCCCTCTCCATCTCATTCCCGTTTTCAGATGCTTATTAATCCTAGCTCCTTCATCAAATCTTGACCATCTAACAGCATGTCCTTGATATGGTTCAGTGACGTATAAAAGAACAACCAGGAGCAGTATACCATTTAGGCCCTGAAGTCTGCTGTCAACTAAAATTATGGTTGTTCTTAAACCACTTTCTCATCTTAGAGACACGGAGATCTATAGCACAGAGAAAGGACCTTCAGCCCATCGTGTCCACACTAGTCACAAACTACCACCTAACTATTCCAAGCCTATTTTTCAGCATTTGGGGCATAGGCTTATGCGCCTTGGCACAGCAACTGCACATCTAAATACTTAATGCTAAGATGGTTTCTGCCTCTAAAGCCCTTTTGACCCTTCTCTCAAATCTATGCTCATGGTCATTGATCCCTCCATCAAGAGGAAATGTGCCTTCCTACCTACCCTACGCCCCTCAATTTTGATCGTGTCCCCTCTCAATCTCCTCTGCTCCAAGAAAAACAACCCCAGTCGGTCCAATTTCTCTTCATAACAAACTCTCCAACCCAGGCAACAACTTGCTAAGTGTCCTCTCCAACCTTTCCAGTGCTATCACATCCTTCCTAAAATCTGGATTCTAGCTGTGGCCCAACAAACATTAATTGCCCATATAACCTCCCTGCTATAAACGCCAAGCCTCAGCTGATAAAGGTAAGTGTACCAAATGCCTTCTCGACCACTTTATCCACCTGTCCTGATATGCCTATGGTCAATATGATAGTATTAATTCAAAAGGACAGCTAGCAAAAGCAAGTACTACAGTACAACATTTACTAGAAGGCACTATTCAATGGAGAAATGTGACAAACTTAAATACAGCAGTGAAGACTACTGGAAGATATACAAGTCGGATCAAGTACACAATGAAAAGAAGGTGTTAAGGCAATGGATTGAGAACATGATGTGGAAAGGTGGAAATCAGAAAAGCACACAGTGTAAGCTCAACCAGTGAGTGGGTACAGCAATGAACAGGTCTCTTGAAAGAGATCATCAACTGTTAAAGGAAATCCTATTAATAGGAGGGAAAGTCAAACAGTAACAGTCCCAAAGTAGAAGAAAAAACAAGAGGGTTTGGTTTAGCAGCAACCAGAAATATACCAGGATAACCACCAGGAGCAAAACCCCACGTGATCAGGAAAACTTAGTGGCCGAGAACAAGTTAAAAGAAAAGTTAACAAAACATGCCAAACAAGAACTACAAAACTGGAGAGAATTTGGGGTGTTCACAAAGATGCCATATAGGGGCAATGAGTCTTATATTATAGGTGGATATGCACAGAAAAAGGTGTCTCCTAATGGGATTTATAGGCTAAAGCAAGGTTTTAATGAAAAACTGGGGTTCAACATATTACTTGAGAAAGGATGTATTGGCACTGGAGGGGGTGCAAGGGAGGTTCACTAGGTTGATTCCGGAGTTGAGGGGGTTGGCTTATGAGGAGAGACTGAGTAGATTGGGATTATATTCATTGGAATTCAGAAGATTGAGGGGGGATCTTATAGCAACATATAAAATTATGAAAGGAATAGATAAGATAGAAGTAGAGAGGATGTTTCCACTGGCAGGTGAAGCTAGGACAAGAGGGCATAGCCTCAAGATTAGAGGGAGCAGATTTAGGACTGAACTGAGAAGGAATTTCTTCACCCAGAGGGTTGTTAATCTATGGAATTCACTGCCCAGTGAAGTAGTTGACGCTACTTCAGTAAACGTATTTTTTAAAAAAAACAGTAGATTTTTTTTGAACAACAAAGGAATCAAGGGATACGGTGAGAACGCAGGTAAGTGGATCTGAGTCCACAAAAAGATCAGCTATGATCTTATTGAATGGCGGAGCAGGCTCGAAGGGCCAGACGGCCTACTCCTGCTCCTAGTTCTTATGTTCTTCTTATATCACGATAGATTAACCAATAGCAAGAAAAGAAATTTTGATTTTTGCCATTCACTACAAATGTTTGGGAATGTAGATCAATTGATGGTGAGGCTACAATTCTGCAGAGAAATCAGCATGAGAGAGTAATGCGTCTTCAAAGAGGCATTAAATGCGGTGAAAACACACTGGAACTTAAATGTGTATCTGGCCTAAATTATGCCTCTACAATGCGGTACTTCTCATTAAGGTCAGTTTAGCTAAACTGCAGATCCTGACATTTTCTCCTAGCAGTGTAAGAGGCAGCATTCATGCATCTTTATGATGCATGTCGATGCTTTTTTTTGTGGAGTAGGAGCAAAGAATTTGAAAACATTGTCACAAATGGGCTTAAAGCTGAATTTAAAATTGGAAGTCAGGCTTCTGCAGCTTTTAAGTACACTGGGACGAAATTCCAGGATTTTGACCCAGCAACACAAACAACAGCAATACATATTCAACTCAGGATGGTGAGTGGCTTGAAGGTGAAATTGCAGACAGCAATTCCCATCCACCTGCTGCCCATGTCCTATGAGATGGTAGTGGTCATGAGTTTGGAAGATACTGCCCAAGAATTCAATTAAAAAATCTGGAATTATCTATTTAATGATGACCATGAAACCATTGCCAATTGTTGGAAAAACCCATCTGGTTCACTAAAAGACCCAGCAGGGGTGGCAGCATAGTGGTGTCCAGTCAGGAGCGAGTTACCTTCAAAATCCTCAACAGTGACTGCAGATTCCACAAAGTCTCACAGCATCAGGTTAAATAGAGGCAAGGAAAGCTCTTGACTACAATGTACCATCTTCCCTCAGATACAAATCAGCACTCAACAATCAGTGTTGAGCAACACTTGAAACATTGAAGGTAGCAAGGGTGCAAAATGTACTCTGGATGGAGAATTTCAATGTCCACCCGAAGTGGCTGAGCCCCAGTACTACTAATTGAGCTGCTGGAGTACTAGAGGACACAACTGCTCGACTAGGTTTGCAGCAGGTGGTGAGGTAACCAAGAGGGAAAAACATACTTGACCTCATTCCTATCAATCTGCCTGCTACGGATGCATTTGTCCATCATAGTATGGGTAAGAGTGACCATCGCATAGTCCTTGTGGAGACAAAGTCTCTCCTTCACAATGGGAATACACTCCACGTCGTGTAGCACAAGACTTTAAACAGATCTAGCAACTCAAGACTATGCAACCATCGGGTGCTGCGGGACATCAACAGCAGAATTGTACTCCAACACAATCTGCAACCTTATGGCTCTGCATATCCCCCTTCAACCATTATCACGTCAGGGATCAACCTTGGTTCAATGGAGGGTGCAGGAGGGCATTCTACTAGAAGCATCTAAAAATTAGGTGTCAACCTGGTAGAGGTATCAAACAGGATTACATGCACCCCAAACAGCATAAGCAACAAGTGATGGTGATGGTAAGGGATTCAGTGATAATAACACCATTGAATGTCAAAGGATGATGGTTTGATTCTCCCTTGAAGATGGTCTTTGCCTAGCATGCGTTACCCAAATGTTACTTGCCACTGGTCGGTCCAAGCCTGGATATTGTTCATGTCTTACTGCCTTTGGATATGAACTGCTTCAGGACGAGGAGTTGTGGATGGTACTGAACATGTGCAATCAGCGACTATACCCGCTTTTGACCTTATGATGGAGGGAAAGTCATTGATGAAGCAGTTAAAGATGGTTGGGTCTCGGACACTACCCTGAGGAACTCCTACAAAAGATGCCCTGGAGCTGAGCTGACTGATTGACCTCTAACAATAACAACTATTTTCTTATATGCCAGGTATGACTCCAAACAGCAGAGAGTATTCCCAAATTCTCACTGATTCCAGTTTTGCTCGGACTCCTTGACACCACACTGTCAAACATGGCCTTGACGTCAAGGGCAGTCATTCTCACTTCACCTCTGGAGTTCAGCTCTTTTGTCCGTGTTTGAACCAAGACTACAAACAAGATCAGGAGCCATGTGGCTCTAGTGGAAGCCCACCTGGGCATCAGTGAGAAGATTATTGCTGAACATGTGTTGCTTGATTGCACTGATGATGACACCTTCCATCACTTTACTTATGATCAAGGGTACACTGTGGCACTAAGTGGTCAGTTGGATTTGTCCTGCTTTTTACATAGAGGACATAACTGGACAATTTTCAACATGGTCACTAAGATGCCAGTATTGTCACTGTACTGGAACAATTTGGCTAGGGGAGCAGCCAGTTCTGGAGCACAAGTCTTCACAATTGCCAGAATGCTGTGTTGGCCCATAGCCTTTACCAATGCCTCCAGCTATTTCTTGATATCACACCCAAGTGCATCGACTTGGCTGAAGACTGCTATCTATCCTATTGAGAACCTCTGGATGAGGCCAAGATGGATCATCCACTAAGAACTTCTATCTGAAGATTGCTGCAAATGCTTCAGTGTTACCTTTTGCACTGATATGCTGGTCTTCCCCCATCATTGATGGAGATTTTATGGAACTTCCTCCTCCAGTGAGTTGTTTCATTATTCACTACCATTTACTACTCGATGTGGCAAGCCTGCAGAGTTTAGATTTGATCGATAGGTTGTGAAATCACTTAGCTCTGTCTATTAATTGTTGCTAATGCTGTTTGATGTGCAAGTAGTTCTGTGTTGTAGCTTCATCAGATTGACGCTCCATTTTTAGGTACACCTGACCCTGGCATGCCTTCCTGCACTCTTCATCGATTCAGCAATGGTAATGCCATTGAATGTCCAGGGACAATGGATAGATTCTATCTCGTCAGAGTTGGTCAACGCCTGGCACTTGTATAGCACAAATATTACCTGTCACTTGTTAGTCCAAACCCGAATACTACCAATTTCTTGCTGCATTTGGACATGTACCGCTTCAGTATCTTAGAGGAGTTGTGAATGGTGCTGAACATTGCACAATTATCACAGAACATCCATATTTGTGATCTTAATATGGAGGGAAGTGTTACCCTTTAGCTTAAGAAGCTAACAAAATCAGAGTGGTAAGAAGTACACTTATTCCAGCTATCTTTTTAATCCTTTAACATCCAAGAATCTATCACTCAGTATGGAATACACTCAATGACAAAGATTGTGAATGCTCTGATGGGGACGCATTTCTGGAATTCCAAATATTTATTATCTCCTGAATGAAGGAATTTCTCATCTCCATCCTAAGTAGCTGACACCTCACCCAATGTAATTCCTAGTTCTAGACTCTGCAGCCAGGGGGAAACAACCTCTCAGCATCTACCCGGTCAACCATTTCAATTAATGTATTTCAAGGCAATGACCTTTCGTTCTTCAAAATTCTTGAATGTAAGCCTATTCTCCTTAATCTCTAGTCATAGGACAGCCCTCTTATTCTCGCAATCAATCTGCTGAACTTTCACTATACCACTTTAAGACATACAGTAGGTCCTTGCCTGATGTGGCAAGATCAAAACTTTTACAGTACTCCAGATATGGACTCAAAAAAGCAAGCTGAAACAATTCCCCAAATTTGTTTAGTCCAAACTTCTGGCAGTTAAGGCCACTTTCCTGCTACCTGCAGGTTAACTTTGTGATTCACGTACAAAGAGCCCCAAACAATGTATCCTCTAGGCCATACAGCCACACAACCAGTGGGAAGCAGCATGCACGCCTGTATAGTTTCCATTTCTAGGAGCTGCTGCCAAGCACGGACTTTTGTGGTCCATGCCGCAGGAAAGATTACAAGAAACGTTGCACCCAAATCCCTCTGAACATCAACACTTAATAGCCTCCCAGCACATAAATAATATTTTCTATCTATTCTTCCTATGCAATTAATTAACCTCATTGTTCCACATTATACTCCATCTGCCAACTTCTTGTCACCCACTTAACCCGTCTTTTTGCCTTTTCAGTCTGTCTCATCACAACGTACTTCACTACTTAGCTTTGTATAGCCAACTTAGATACACTTTTCTGCCTCTTTGCTCAAGTTTTAATATAGATGAATAATAGTTGCATTCCCAGTGCTAATTCTTGTGACATCCCACTAGCAACAGCTGACCAACATGAAAATTACTCTTTATTTCTACTTTTGTCTTCTGTCTTTTAAACAATCCTTAATTCATGCTGATATATAACCCTCAACATCATCAGCTTCGACAAAAACATTGTGCAGCACCTTACTACGTGTTCTGAAATTGCAAATCTACTACATTCACTTCTTGTCCTTTCTCTGCCCCGGTAGTTACATTCTCAAAAAGTAACTGGTTTGCCAAACAAAATTTCCTTGCCAGAAATACACACCAACTCTGCCTAATCACATTCTGATTTTCTATAACTCTGGTACTACTTCCTCAATAATAGTTAGTGGAATTTTTAGCAAAGACAAACGTCAGACTAACCAGTCAGTTTTGTCACTGGACCCGAAACATTAACTCTGATTTTTACTTCACAGACACTGCCAGACCTGCTGAACTTTTCCAGCAACTTTGTTTTTGTTTCTGATTTACAGCATCTGCAGTTCTTTTGGTTTTTAGTCATAGTTTCGTGTTTTTCTCTCTCCCTCTTCTTGGATAGGGGTGTTACTTCTACTACCTTCCAATCCATTGACAGCATTCCAAAAATAAGAAGCTTTGGAAGTCACAACCAATGCATCCACATCCGAGTGGATGCAAGTAATCAGGCTGAGGTAATTAATTGGCTCACAGACCCTTTCATTTCTCCAGCACTTTTACATTACAGACTGGAATATTAATACACACACGCATACACAGTTGATAAGCAGAGTTGAAAGATCACAAAAATACCTAGTTCTACAAATGGCTACACGAAGTATAATACACAGATGGTATTTGTGTATTCGAACGACCAGGCAAATTTTAAAAAATTAACCTGAATAATTCCCAAAGACCAAGGGAAGGTATTTGGGAATATTTGAGATTTTTAAAGTCTAATTCAACTAAACTGTTCAAACCATCTTCATTGCATTCTATGATGACTAAGTTCTACTTCTGCTCTATAAAAAGTCTTGTTTCAAAAACATTTTTTAAACTCACCAAGAACTGCCTTGCTATTGTGTACCTGTGGCCCCATTCAATGTTAAGGCACGTGTAAAACGTCCAGATTAGGGGCACGCATGCCGAAATTTGATTAAAATTATGACCAGCACTTTTTGGGAAAAAAAAGGCAGCAAAATATTTTAAATTTGTAAAATCACAATTGCAAACTTCATCTTCATCAGTGCTAGTTAGCTTTACTGGTGCTAGCATACATCTCAATATAATGCTCAGGTTCAGCTACTGGAAGTTTGGGTTAAACACACCAAAGAAAATGTAGTTAATCTATTCAACTGGACAGTATTCTACAATATCAAAACAACTACAGAAAATTGCAACTGTTTATTGCTTTGTTCAAGGCACAGGTCACTTCAGTAAACCAAGGACAAACACTAATAGTGCTATAAAATGGCACTTTATGATACTCAAGGCTACAGTCATTAACCTGTTCATTTATTGGAAGCTAGTGTGTCTGGGTCTTAAACTCAACATTTTAATATGAGATGCAAGACTCAAGCACTCAGCATATACACACACATATAAAACTGAAACTAAATGGGGGGTGTGAGCCAGAGCAGGAGAAAATATATCAGTGATTCAAAGAGACGGAAGTATAATGCTGCTATTAATCTAGCCAACTAGATTACTAACACTGATAGTTACTTTCCAAGTTTAGATTCAAAGAAAAATGTGTCACAGAAGGCAGTGGACAATCATTGCCATTACTCTCAAAGGTGAAAGCTTGGAGAGGAATAAACATTGAAGTACCTTTTGTCCATAGATCTAGATGGCACACAACGTCCTTTAGAAATGAGACAGGTGGTTGAAGCCAGTGTTAGTTCAAAGTTCTTAGAAGGTGGAAGCCCACAGCAAACACAAAAGAATGAAGTTCATAATTTGGAGTTTAAAGAAAGCATAAAAGTGGCTGGTGCAAGTAGACGTGAAACAGAAGATATTGCTTTTCTGGTTGCATCCTTGAGTTTGAGTTTAGACTTCACTAGAATGGATCCAGGTGCTTTACTATGTATTGAGCTATTCTACAGCCTCTATCTGACCTGGGAGTTCTGAGTAATACCATGGTATATTAAACATAGAAAGGATTGCATGGTTGCCTAGCAGTGACATGATTTTACATTGATAAGCAGTAAGTTACAGTTTTTGGTTATTCAGTGGAAGAATCTCAAAGCATCTATTCTCAGTCTTGAAGTTGTTTTGCATTATGCACAATTTCTGCTATGCTATTTATTCCTGTATTAAAACAAGACACAAATGTTCATTCAGCAACAATTTTTTGCCCTCTGCTGTAAACACTAAAGTATCGTTTACCCGATCTGCAATCATTGTATTTGAGAAACACTCCAATTTCCATGACGATAGGATAATCTCACGATAACAGGACAAGGTCTTCAGAAAATTAGCAAGTAAAATTCCACGAGAGTGCAATGAAATGCCTACAATGTTTTCGATTAACGTGAATAAAATCTCCAATTTACCTCTCGCTTCCTTCTTTCTTCCTGGGTTCGATGCAGCAGTGAAGCTTTTTCTTCCTTCAAAAGATTTATACAATGTTAGTTTTGTTTGGAACAACGTTCTCATTCTCCAATACTTCTGTACTTTATCATTTTCTTGTTTACTGGTCACAAGATTAAGTATTTTTGAATCACACCAGTCTAAAACTAGACGACAACAAGACAATTCATACACGTCCTTGCAGATCAGACTGACATAGCTAAGCGCTTCTAGCATTTTCTGTTTCTATAATTCATGAAATAAAGCAAAACCATATTTATTTAAAGAGGGAAAGAAATCAAATTCCACTGAAAACCATTAGTTCCTACATATTCAGACTGCACATTATTGTAAAATCTAAGCACCATTCAAGCAAACTCTCAAATACAACGCTCGGTTCGCAACAAACAACTACACCTCCCAGTCGCAAACCATTTCAACTCCCTCTCCCACTTCTTGGACGACATGTCCATCCTGGGCCTCCTGCAATGCCACAATGATGCCACCCAAAAGGAACAGCATCTCATATTTCGCTTGGGAACCCTGCAGCCCAAGGGTATCAATGTGGACTTCACAAGCTTCAAAATCTCCTCTCCCCCGACCGCATCCCAAAACATGGCAAGCTCGTCCCTGCCTCCCTAACCATTCCTCCCACCTCAAGCCCCACCCCCATCCCCTACCTACTAACCTCATCCTGCCTCCTTGACCTGTCCGTCCTCCCTGGACCGACCTATCCCCTCCCTAACTCCCCATCTACATTCACCTTTACTGGCTCCAACCCCGCTTCTTTGACCTGTCTGTCTCCTCTCCACCTATCTTCTCCTTTATCCATCTTCTATCTGCCTCCCCCTCTCTCCCTATATTTCAGAATCCCCTTCCCCTCCTCCATTTCTGAAGAAGGGTCTCGACCCGAAACATCAGCTTTCCTGCTCCTCTGATGCTGCTTGGCCTGCCGTGTTCATCCCGCTCTACACCTTGTTATCTCAGATTCTCCAGCATCGGCAGTTCCTACTGTGTCTCACAAATACAACAACAAGTGAAGCATTAAAGCATTCACAATTCAAGATGGTGACAGATTATAAAACAAAGTTAGTGTAGCAATTGAGACTGAATAACCCCAAGATGATTTAACAGATATCAACCAATTTGGGTATTATTGGTCACTGCATTGAGTATAAGAGTTGGGAGTCATGTTGTGGCTGTATAGGACATTAGTTAGGCCACTTTTAGAATACTATGTTCAATCCTGGTCTCCTGCTATAAAAAGGATGTTGTGAAACTTGAAAGAGTTCAGTCAAGATTTACAAGGATGTTGCCAGGGTTGGAGCGTTTCAGCTAAAGGGAGAGGCTAGATAGGCTGAGGATATTTTCCCTGGAGCGTTGGAGGCTGACGGGTGACCTTGGAGAGGTTTGTAAAATTATGAGGAGCACGGATAGGGTAACTAGACAAGATCTTTCCCCCATGTTGGGGCAGTCCAAAACTAGAGGGCATAGGTTTCAGGTGAGAGGGAAAAGATTTAAAAGGGACCTAAGGAGGGTGGTGCATGTGTGGAATGAGCTTCCAGAGGAAGTGGTGAAGGCTATACGATTACAACATTTAAAAGGCATCCGGATGGGTATACGAATAGGAAGGTTTTAGAGGGATAAAGGCCAAATACAACCAAATTTATTTGGGATAGCTGGTCAGCATGGACGAGTTGGACCAAAGAGTCTGCTTCCGTGCTGTACAGCTCTATAACTATGCCGCTAAATGCCTGTAACAGACAAATTAAACATAACATTTTGTTAAAGGCACAATAGGCAAAGGATTAAAACTCTGCACATTTTGCATGAATTATATAAGCACCAATAAGCATTGCACGTGTGCACAAAGATAGAAAAAAAACAGGTAGCAGAAGAGAATCGCTTTCGTATAGGACTTCATAATGAATGGCGACATATTCTTACTGGCCTTGAATCTGTCACTCAATTGATCAAAGTTGCAAAACAGATCTTGGTTGAAACTATCTTAAGAGCATGGCCAGGCCATCAAAAAAGTAAACAATGTCATATAATTGGGCAATGTTTCTAACATTGACCCATAAACAAACAGAATCATTGGTCACGCACATGGCCCATTTTAGCTTATCTAACCAGGAAAATCTGATTGTATCATTCGCAAATCAAACAAACCTTGGTTTTATTCAAATTGATGCAAGAGATTGATCAACTTCCAAAGAATTAACTTCAGGGATGCAAATGGAAGTCATCTTTACCACAGTCAAAAGGCCAATGATAAAATTCAGCTACTTCTCCCAGCTGGCTGTTACTCAGTATTTATTTTTAATTCACTCAAGGATTGTGGTCGGTGCTGGCTGGACTAGCAGTTATTGCCTGTTCTTGTTGTCCTTAAGGTGATAGTATGCTGCCTTCTTGAACCACAGCAGTCCACATTCTGTCGGTAAACCCACAATGCTGTTAGGAGGGAATTCAGGATTTTGCCCCAGCGACACTGAAGGAATGGCGATAGATTTCCAAATTAGAGCAGCGAGTGGCTTGATGGAGGTTTTCCCAGTGTATGTGCCTTATGTGTACGTAATTAATGTGTACTAGCATTGGAAATATTTTGCAATGTCCTTAAACAAATGACCTATCAAGATGTGTTATATGAAGATGACACAACACCATTCTCAGCACCCATACCAAATAACAAAGGTTAAAAGCACTGCATTGTGCAACACTAATTTATAAAAAGATCCCAGGTCTGATTGTCTAACTTGATGTACATCGAATGATACTACAAATGGATTGGGCTATAAAGAATGACAGCGTTATTCATCCTACCAAAACATAAATAAGTTCTTATTCTTTGGAAGAGTTAAAAAGCATGTGATGACTTCTGGGTACACATATTTACCAGCTGGTGTCACTGTTTTTCATATTTAAGTATGAACAAAGTATTAGAGCTCAGTAACAGAGATACCAAAATCACGAGTAGAGAAGTCACATTAACCTTACACAGAACCTTGGACAGTATTGTGTTGGTGATGGCATGACACCAGAAGTGGATGGTGGACGATAATCAGTGGTAAATGGAGGCTGGTGGAGCAAATAATGAGGACAATGCAAACTCTATCACTGGTCAGGAAGGGCACAGCAGATCGCATGAAAATTAATGGACATTGTCGAGAACATTGTATGGCAGGGGAGTATCCTCAGCTCCCTCCCACCCCTCTGAATATTCTGAAAGATCATTCTCTCTGCCGTAATGTGGTCTACTCCTCAGTGATTCACATCCCTGCCCTTTCCTCTGGCACCTTGCAATTCAAGGGCAGGGGAAATGGAAATAATACCTGTCATTTCCCTTCTCTGAGACATCCAACTCCCAAACACTACTTCAGAACTGAAACAGCAATTTATAAACAAACAAGTGCAGAACAAATCCACTTGATCCCTCCATTGTACTCACCATAAGATCAACACAAACTCAAAGAACAGCGTACACCAAGTTTCAACTCAGCACACCAGACTTTTTGGACTCAATGTAATGTTCAACAATTTTAGACCACAACCCAAGCCACCACTGTTTGTGTTTGCTAGTTCAATTATTTTTCCTGTGGTTTCTCTTATTCCCCTTGTCAAGCATTCGGAAAATAGTTATCCTGCTATTCACACATCCTCTCAACACGTTGTTTCCTCACTTGACCCATTACCAGCCCTTCAGATTTTGCACAAATGAAACCTTCTCCCATTTGAACTCTTGTGCCTCGACATCACCAAAGGCTACCTTTTTGTTCACATAGTTATTCTAGTGCAGAAACAGGCAACTCAGCCCATCGTATTTGCACCAGTTCTCCAGGTTAGCATTTCACTTAGTGTATGTGTAAGTTTGTGACAATTTCTTCCCTTTCAGATAACCACCAAATTATTGTCAAAATGCCTCAATTGAACTTGTCTCCACCAAACTCAGGCAATGCATTCCAGATCTTAACACTACATGAAAACGTTTCTCCTATGGCTTTTGCTTCTCTTCCCAATTACAATAAATCTGTACCCTCTCGTTCTCCTTCCTGCTCCTCACACTTGCTGAAAGCCTACTGCACTCAGTTATAGTGAAGGGTCATTAACTCATAACCATCTGTGGAAACAATTTTTTTTAAAATTCAGAGAACGAGGGAGTCACTGGCTAGACCAACATTTATTGCCCATCCCTAAATTAACAGTCTGAAGTCACAGGTAGGCCAGACCAGGTAAAGATTGCATTTTCCTTACCTAAAGGGCTTTACTGAACCAAATTTTTCCCTGACCAATTGACAATGGATTCAAGGTCATCATTAAATTCTTAATTCCAGATGTTTATCGAATTCAAATTCCACCATCTGCTGTGGCAGGATTTGAACCTTTCAGTGTTCCTTTCTCCAGCACTGGAGAGGAGATAGCACATGAGGAAAATCTGTTTTAATGAATTTGCCTTTGTCAAGGGTGTGTTTATGGGACGTTACTAGATTGGAACACTTTATATTTAGTAGTTCAATAATATATTATATTAAGTATTTCAATGATGCAATGTCAATTCTTTTTGCATTTGTGTTTTAACTGTGTTGTAAAAATAACAGTCTTGAGGGTGTTGGCTAAGGGGAAAGGTTTAAAAAAAAAACTAGGATTGTTTTCCCTGGAAAGACAGCGGCTGAGAGGAGACCTATAGAGGTCTACCAAATTATGAGAGGCAACGATAGGGTGGATAGCCAGAGGTTTTACCCCAGGGTTAAAGTTTCAATGACAAGGGGGCACAGGTTCAAGGTCAGAGGGCAAAAGTTTAAGAGAGATGCACAAGGGAAGTTTTTCCACGCAGAGGAGGAGGAGGAGCCTGGAATGCACTGCCAGAGGTGGTGGTGGAAACAGGCATATCGGCGACATTTAAGAGGCGTCTGGATGGTTACACGAACAGGGAGAGAATAGAGGGATACGGACCGAATAAGGGCAGAAGGTTTGTTTTTTAGTTTAGTCAGGGCATGATAATCGGCACAGGCTTGGAGGGCTAAAGAGCCTATTCCTGTGCCATACTTCACTTGTGTTTTTTTTAAGATGTGTTTTGCTTAAAGCCGAGCAGTTGAATAACCAAGTCATACCTGGAATACAGTGCCTTACCCTTGCCTTTAAATAAAAATAAAAAGTTAGCACCTAGGCGATCTCCTTGATATATTTTGAGGGCATTTGGTCTGGTTATAACACCAGCTATTCACAACATATATTAAGTGATTCAGAAGAAGAAACCAGATATCATAGTTCCAACTCTGCATGATAGAAAGTTGGGTGGAAGCTAATACTGTGAGGATGCAGAGAAGCTTTGGTGCGATTTGGACGAGTAAGTGGGCAAACACAATGCAAATGTAGTATAACGATGCAAAAATGTGAGGTTATCCATGTTAATCGCTTTGTGCTTCAGACTTCCAAGCCTTTCCCAATTTAGAAAATAAGACCTGGATGTCCTCATGCACCATTTGAAGATAAGAGTGCAGGTGCAGCAGACTGTAAAGAAAGCAAACAGCATGTTGGCCTTGGTAAGACCACGCCTCTGGTATTGTGTGCAATTTGGGTCTCCTGCTGAGGAAGGATGTTTTTGCTATCGAGGGAGTGCGACAAAGGCTTTACCAGATTGATTCCTGGGACGGCAGAACATACAGGGAGAGACTAGGTCGGTTACAACTACATTCGATAGAGTTCAGAAGAATGACTGGGGGTCTTCTCAGAAACCTACAAAATTTTAAAAAGATTAGACGAGGCGAATGCAGGAAGATGATCCCAATGACCAGGGAGTCCAGGACAAGGAGACAGCTTAAGAATAAGGGATAGATCTTTCAGGACAGAGATGAAGAGGAACTTCTTTCAACCAGAGAGTGGCAAGCCTGTGGAATTCTCTGGCACAGGAAACTGTTGAGGCCAAACCATTGGAGACCTTCAAGGAGGATGCAGATATCGTTCTTAGGACCAAAGGGATTAAAGGATATGGAGAGAAAGCAGGAACAGGGTGCTGAGTTGGATGATCAGCCATGATTACATTGAATGGTGGAAGAGGCTTGAAGGGCTGAATGGCTTACTCCTGTTATTGTCTAAGGTTCTATGTATTGAAGCCTAGTACAGATTATAACATTCTCCAAGTCTAAGGAAACTCTTGTGACAGAAATAGAATCATTGGAGAAACTCAGCAGGTCTGACAGCATCTGTGGACAGAAAGCAGAGTCAACTTTTAGGGTCCAATGGCCCTTTTTCAGAACAGGAACACAACATTGCATTACTCATTTGTCAAAGGGATAAAATATCAAAAGCTAGCCATTTCCATTGCACAATAATGTACACTGCTCCTATTTAGATCAACACATCATAAACTATTCAAATTATTTTAATACACTTCTACCATAACACAATGCATCAGTGGATAACTTGAATACATTTGGTAAGATCAGTTAGTTTAGTCAGAACTATTGTATCATTACAAAGTAGGAACAACAGTAAAAATGTTTGGGATAGTTTGGGATAGTACTATATTCACCACAGTTTTCACTGGCCATTCTTCAAAGTAGGAACAAAAACTATAAAGATAATACACACAAAGCTGTATTATTACAGCTTTTTGCAGCTATTACAGCAGACAGCTGTAAAACATAAAGTAAAGATACTTGAATGTGATGGAGGCTTAAATGATATAATTGTACCAAAATAGAAGGTATAAACATCTACATGCGTTTGGAAAAGCAAGGTCCAATTAGCGATAATCAGCACAGCTTTGTGCATGGGAAATTATCTCTCTCAAATTTGGTTGAATTTCTTTTTTTTTTAAAAAAAAAAAAAAAAAGAGGTGACCAAGAAAACAGATGAAGGCAGAACTGCAGACATCGTCTACATGGACTTTAGTAATGTCTTGGACAAGGTTCCGTGTGGTAGACTGGTTAGTAAGGCTAGATCATATGGGATCCAGGGAACACTAGTCAATCAGATACAAAATTGGCTTAACAGTAGGATACAGAGGATGGCGATAATGGGTTGTTGCTCATACTGGGGGCCTGTGACCAGCAGCGTGCTGCAAGGATCAGTGTTGGGACCACTATTTTTCATCATTTATATACAATGATTTGAATAGCACGATAAGAGGCATGGTTAGTAAGCTTGCAGATGACACCGAAATGGGGAATATAGTGGACAGTGAAGAAGATTATCTAAAAATACAACAGGATCTTGGTCAACCGGGCCAGTGAGTTGAGAAATGGATGGAGTTTAATGCAGGTAAATGCAAGATGTTGCATTTTGCTAAGAAACCAGGGCAGGACTTAGACAGTTAATGGTAGAGTCCAGGGGAGTGTTGTCGAACAGAGACACCCAGGGTGTAGATACATACTGCCTCAAAAGTAGCGTCAGAGGTAGAACAGGGTGGATGATGATGATGCTTGGCATGCTTGCCTTCATCAGTCAGAGCACGGAACACAGGAGTTGGTATGATATGTTATAGCTGTACAAGACACTGATAAGGCCACATTTAGAGTACTGCATACAACTCTGGGCACCCTGCGAAAGGAAGAATGTTATTAAAACTGGAAATGGTGCAAAAAAGATTTACAAGGATGTTACCAAGACTGGAGTCTGAGTTCTAAGGAGAGGCTGAACAGGCTGGGACTTAATTCCCTGGAGCATAGTAGACCGAAGAGTGACCTTTGAGAGGTTTACAAAATCATGAGAGGCACGGTTAGGGTGAATAGCCAATCTTTTTCCCAGGGTAGGGGAGTCCAAGACTCAAGGGTATAGCTTTAGGGTGAGAGGGAAATGATTAAAAGGGACCTGAGGGTAACTTTTTCTATATAGACGGTGGTGTACGTGGAACGAGCTGCCAGAGGAAGTGGTAGAGGCAGGTACAATTACAACATTTAAAAAGGCATTTGGACAGATACTGGGATAGTAGGAACTGCTGATGCTGGAGAATCCGAGATAACAAGGTGTAGAGCTGGATGAACACAGCAGGCCAAGCAGCATCAGAGGAGCAGGAAAGCTGACGTTTCGGGTCTGGACCCTTCTTCAGAAAAGGGTAGAAGAGGTTAACGGGGATATGGGCCAAACGCTGGCAAAATGGGGATCGTTCAATATAGGAAACATGGTCATAGAGTCACATAGCTTTAGGGGGAGGCAATGGCTGAGTGGTATTATTGCTGGACTGTTAATCCAGAGACCCAGATGACGCTCTGGGGACCCAAGTTTGAATTCCTCCACGGCCAGATGATGGAATTTGAATTCAATAGAAAATATCTGGAATTAAGAATCTAATGATGACCGTGAACCCACTTTGTTGTTTGTCAGAAAAACCCGAAAGGACTTTAATGAACCAGATGGGAAGAAAACTGCTATCCTTACCTGGTCTGGCCTATATGTGATGCCAGATCCACAGCAAGGTGGTTGACTCTGAATTGTCCTCTGGGAAATTCGGTATGGGCACGAGTGCTGCCTAACTGGCGACGCTGTTATCCCATGAATGAAGAAAGAAAGAAGCGTACAGCACAGAAATAGACCCTTTGGTCCAACTCATCCACGTCAAGCAGATATCCTAAATTAATAGGCATAGTAGGAACTGCAGATGCTGGAGAATCTGAGATAACAAAGTGTAGAGCTGGATGAACACAGCAGGCCAAGCAGCATCAGAGGAGGAGGAAGACTGACATTTCGGGCCTAGATCCTTCTTCAGAAAATTTTCTGAATTCAGATTTTCTGAAGGGTCTAGGCCCGAAACGTCAGCCTTCCTGCTCGGCCTGCTGCGTTCATCCAGCTCTACACCTTGTTATCTCTTATCCTAAATTAATATATCCCATTTGCCAGCATTTGGCCCATTTCCAACTAAACCCTTCCTCTTCATATACCCATTTAGATGCCTTTTAAATTCTGTAACTGTACCAGCCTCCACCACTACCTCTGTCAGTTCATTCCTTACACGCACCACCCTCTGTGTGAAAAAATTGCCCCTTAGGTCCCTTTTAAATCTTTCCCCTCTCACCTTAAACCTATGATCTCTAATTTTAGACACCCCTACCCTGGGGAAGGCCTTGACTATTCACCCGATCCATGCCTCTCAATTTCAAACTTCTATAAGGTCACCCCTCAGACTGCAATGCTCCAGAAAAAACAGCCCCAGTCTATTCAGCCTTGTAAATCTTTTGAACCCTTTCAAATTGCACAACATCCTTCCTATAGCAGGGTGACCAGAATCGCATACAGTATTCCTAAAGTGGCCTAACCAATGTCCTGTAGAGCTGCATGACTGCCCAACTCCTATACTCAATGCAGTAACCAATAAAAGCACATGTACCTTCTTCACTATCCTGTCTACATGCAACTCCACTTCAAGTAACTATGAACCTGCACTCCACGGTCTCTTTGTTCAGCAGCACCTGAAAGGTCTGTTTCCATGTGGTACGACTATGACATCAACATCCTGTCCTGGTCAACAGTTATCCGTCAATCAACACAAACACTATCTGATCATTTTCAAATGAGAACTTGCTGTGTGGAAATTGGCTGCCACGTTTCCTATGTTACAGCAGTGGCATCATTTCCAGAAATGGGGTTAAACAATGCAAATGCCTTGTGTTTCTTAGCTTTGATTACATAATTGCCACAAACCATTTTTTAAAAAATTGAGATTCACTGTGTTATTAAATTAAAAACTGCTCATTGTACACATTAAAACTTGAGTTAAATAGCAAGTGATTACAAACCTTTCTGCTTGCTCCACCAAGAGATACCTTGGGCCGCGTTTTGAAATCCCCTTCAAAGCTGAACATGTCTGTATGTTATTCCATCTAGTAGCAGTACAGCTCCTATGTATGAAATTGTATTTCCAATTAAGCAATTATTCACAAATAATATTCTAAAACATAGATAACACTTAACATCTCAAATTTTTTTGACAAAGCGTAACATCTTCACTATTCAGCAGTAAGTACCAAATGGTAACACTATCATAAAAGGCTGACCTCCATTCAGAAAAGGAAATCATCACTTGTTTAAAATGGCAGTGAAAACTTACAACATATATTTTATTTTAATTATAAATTATATGCTAAAGCACTGAATACATGAGGTTACAACAGCACACCACTAATTTTCTTTTCTGGGTACGTGAACAGATCTGATGTTAACTCGAAGCAATTTTCAACACTATTCGTGAATTCTACGCAAGTACACAATCAATACAGGACATACAGCATACACAAGTTATTGCTCAGATATAAGCTATGAATTGTTAATGCTCTGAGATCTCTTAAACCCGAATGAATCGCATCTAGTATCGTTTGGTCACATCTCGGGCTGGGAGCCTGTTATAACAGCAAACAAACTCGTAAGGCTTTCAGAAAAGGGGACCGAGCGGTGTACAATGAGGGCAAAAGATACAATACCATCGAGAATACAAAAAAACTACTGCAGTGATTTGTAACTAAACAGGAAGAAGAACTGCCCTCCTTCTATCGGAGTGAGGATACCGTAATGCCGAGGCCTGGCCAGTGGAGTTGACTGTCAACCTTGCCCTCTTCTCTTTCTTTATGACTCAGCAGGACGCAAACGCCGATTATATTTGAGAGAAGGGAGTTTCTCTGAAACATCAGCTTAGGATAAAAAGAGCCTAGCATCCAAATGTGTTGAATTTAAAAAATAAAAAAAAATAAAAAGCAGAAACGTTTTAAGACAGAGGTAGAGAGGAAGACAAATGATGAGAGGGTCTCCTCCTCTTATCTTTCCCTCTCCTCATTACTCTCCCGTCCACCCCCAGCCCCAACCCGGCTCCTTTACCTGATGCACCAGCTGCCGCCTGTAACTGAAACCTACAGCGCACGCCGGAAGCTATCATCGTTCCAAACGGTTCAGAACAAGCTCTCCTCCCCAAAACCGCCCACCATTTCCTCTCTGGAGATCCTGCCCCCTCCCGCCGCTGTGACGTCATCGGGCCTCACCCCAACCCATTGGAGCAGCGCGGTTTCCGACGCTAACGTCACTCGCCCGACCCGACCCTCCCCTCCCCTCCCCTCCCCTCCCCCCCCGCCCAACCGCCCCTCGATTCCGCCCCGCGCTTGTACCACACGTGCGTGCGTCACCGACGAACGGCGTCGGGAGAATTTTGTCTCGTCGGTTGGTCACCGTCCCTCGACTATTTATTTATATACCAATTTCGACATTCCGCAGGGGAAAGGTGTCAAGATGCCGGCATTTATTCGAAGGTTTTGACGCGCAGTGTACTTGTACATAATTCAGTTATTGTTGATTTGTTGTAGTCTGTATATCGGGTGTTGGTTTTCCCCTCCCCGCCACGGGCTGTATAGAAGGGATTGTCAGCGCCGTGGTGACGTCATCAGAGGCCTGCTGGGGAAGGGGAAATCAGCCTCGCAACCTTTGACCCGACGTGTATGACCCCGCCCTTTTCACCAGGACCGAAGTAACCAAAAACAGAGATTGCTGGAAAAAACTTTTAGCAGGTCTGGCAGCATCTGTGGAAAGATTGTAGAGTTAACGTTTCGCATGCAGTGACCCTTCTAAAGCAACCGAAGAATTCGAGATAACAAGGTGTAGAGCTGGATGAACACAGCAGGCCAAGCAGC